ATAACCTAAGAGAAAGAAGCAGAGAGAAGGAGAGAGAGAGAGAGAGAGAATCAAAGTAGGGAATGAGAGACGAATGGAAAATTACAGGAGCACTGAAGATGATGGACAGAGAGGGGAATAAGATAAAGAACGAAGAGTGAACGAAGGGAGAATTGAGAAGGAAGCTTGGAAGAGGAGGATGCAGGATGAGCGAGATGCCTTGACCCAATTTGACATACTCGTAGGTATGTTGTAATTATTAACATGGACCCTTATTGTCTTACTATGCCACTACTGAATGTGAATGATTGTCACAGGCGATTGTGAATGATTGTCATTGATACATAAACATTATTAATGGTGATCATGAATGATTGCTACTGATAACTGTAAATGATTGTCAGTGGTGAATGTGACTAACTACTAGAACTGAATACGACTAAAAATATAAGTGAATGATCATCAAGGAACGTATCTATTAATTTCAGAAGCCAAAACTGTAATGCCAGGTATGCTTATTATAAATATTTTGAAGATATGAATATTTGGTAGTATCAGAGCTCCATTAACCTCAGTAAGATGCCTTTACGCTACATTTGGTCTATTGCGATAACGCGAGTGCTTTTGTCCATAAAAGAGCCACTAATATAAACCATCCATTAACAAGATCCATCAACAAAATATGCTTTTAGCATAACGTGGCTTTTTTTCTTATTTATGTAAAACAGAGCACAGTCGTTTGGTGAGTACTTGCGAATTACAGTTACATGCATATGTATGAATTTATATATATATATATATATATATATATATATATATATATATATATATATATATATATAATATATATAATAATATATATATATATATATATATATATATATATATATATATATATATATAATGAAGGTGAAAACATGGGGGGATACATAAGGGATAAACATAGGGGCTGCAGAAGGCTTATTGGCCCATAAAATTCATACATATGGCCCATAATTCATACAAATTCATACAATAAGCCTGCAGAAGGCTTATTGGCCCATATAATTCATACATATGGGCCAATAAGCCTTCTGCAGCCCCTATGTTTATCCCTTATATATTATATATATATATATATATATATATATATATATATATATATATATATATATATATATATATATATATATATATATATATATATATATAGTTACCTTAATGCTGTGTGAGAGACGGAGCGATTACAGTGAAGCAGAAGAGGTAAGGAGGCAAAGAAGTGGAAAAAATGCTTTGAACAATAGATAATAAATGATACGAGCAGTAGAGGAATGACAATAGACAGAAGAGGCAGATGGTGAAATGGTGTTTTTATAATAATGTCTCCAAAGCAAAACCAGAAATTAGAAACTCATTGGTGGTACCTTATGCGATGGGATTTGAGAAACTTTCCCCAGTTTTTAAGAACCTTAATATCAATTTGGTGTTCACTAATAATACGATCAAGTCTAATTTAATAAAAAAAACTGCCCTGGTACAGCAGGTTGTGTGTATTCGATTGTCTGCAATGATTGTGAGTCTGTGTACCTTGGACAAACAGGAAAATCCTTAGAATCACGTATGTCCCAACATGCTTATAGTATAAGAACTGCCCAAACGTCTAATGCTTTGTATCTACACACAAGTTTGTGTGATCACACTATTAATTGGGATGGGGCGAAAAGCATTACCAATTGCAATGACTTTGTGGAACGGAATTTAATTGAGTCTGCCCTAATTAGTCAATGTCCAAATCTTCTTAATGTTAGTACTGGTATGTACAAACTTGACCCAGTTTTAAGTTGCAATATTGCACAACAGTTTAAGAAAAACCTATGAAAGGGAGAGTTACATTGTCTCATAACAATATTATATTAATATTTTATGTAGGTTCAATGAGGCTTTTTCTTTAATCTATTATTCTTACTGCTTAAATCCTTCTGACCACTCTAAGCTAATCTATATCTTTTTCTGGTTAATTCTTTCACAAGGAGATGGTGGTCAGGACCTAGTGTCTACCTCCACTCTTCCTTTGTGATTTCTTCTAGTCCGGTGTTGACAAAGGCCCAGATCGGCCGAAACGTTCATCTCTCTTTCCCATTTCTCTGTGGATTTTCCGCATACAAATTGTCAGTGTTTAGTGATCATATATTGCATATTATAATATATATATATATATATATATATATATATATATATATATATATATATATATATATATATATATATATATATATATATATATATATGTTAGACCTCGAAGGAAGGATTAAGACAGGAATTTCCTTAAGTACTTTCGTATTTAATAATACATCATCAGAAGGATCCTACTGAAAATGATTTATTAAATACGAAAGTACTTAATTTTCAGGAAATTAAGTTTCCTTAGTTTCCTTAAGACAGGAAATTCCTGTTTTAATCCTTCCTTCGTGGTCTGACATTGTCACACACACATGGGGCCTGGTGACTGAGTGGACAGCGCTTGGGATTTGTATTCCTGGGGACAGGGGATCGATCCCCGGCGATGGCGGAAACAAATGGACAGTTTCTTTCATCCTGATGCACCTGTTCACCAGGCAGTAAATAGGTATCTGGCAGTTAAACAGCTGTTACGGGCTGCTTCCCGTGTGTGTGTGTGTGTGTGTGTGTGTGTGTGTGTGTGTGTGTGTGTGTGTGTGTGTGTGTGTGTGTGTGTGTGTTTACTAGTTGTGTTTTTGCGGGGGTTGAGCTTTGCTCTTTCGGCCCGCCTCTCAACTGTCAATCAACTGTTTACTAACTACTTTTTTTTTCCACACCACACACCCCAGGAAGCAGCCCGTGACAGCTGACTAACTCCCAGGTACCTATTTACTGCTAGGTAACAGGGGCACTTAGGGTGAAAGAAACTTTGCCCATTTGTTTCTGCCTCGTGCGGGAATCGAACCCGCGCCACAGAATTACGAGTCCTGCGCGCTATCCACCAGGCTACGAGGCCCCCTGTGTGTGTGTGTGTGTGTGTGTGTGTGTGTGTGTGTGTGTGTGTGTGTGTGTGTGTGTGTGTGTGTGTGAAAAAAACAGTTGATAGAAATTTGAGAGGCGGGCCGAAAAAGCCAGAGCTCAACCCCCGCAAACACAACTAGGTGAATACAACTAGATGAACTAGGTAAATACAGACACATACACACGCATAGATCCTCAACGCAGGGCATACAGCGTTTGGAGGCCGTAATCCTAAGACCTCCCCCTTCTAATTCCCGGTCGAGGCAGAAACAAATGAGCAGTTTCCTTCACGTGATGCACCTGTTCACCTAGTAGTAAATAGGTAGCTGGGAGTTAGACAACATGTACGGGCTGCATTCTGGGGACGTGTGTGTGTTAGAAAGAAATATATGTACTAGACATGAAAGATGAAAATCGGTCGGGTTGTTAGACAACCAGCGGTTTGAAAGGCGGGGTCCAAGAACTAACAGCTCGCTCCTACAAGCATTTAAATACAGTTAGTAAATACACATACCGAATCATAATGTTAACTATAACCGGATCAAACACAATTAAAAGTTTTTGAATAAAATTATTAAGTTCCAATTATGATATTGTTACTGAAACCTGTTTTTAAGTTCCTCAGTCCTATGTTTAAACGTCCTACATAGCACAATATACACCGTGAAGGGAAAACAGGAAGGTAAAAATATCAATAAAATCAAAGTAATTTATTTACAGGAAAATGCCTAGTCTCTAATCGCTCTGACGATCCAAGCTGATGATTGATAAAGATTAAGCCACACACAAGAGGTGGCACGGGCATGAATAGCCCGTAATATCCAAGCTTGTTTCAGGCCTTATATATATAGATCCGGGACAGGCTACTGGTCCCATAGAATTATCTGAAACGATTAATTATCCTCACCACAAAAAACCATCGTGAAAGCGACTGAAAACACGGGTCTGCAGGGGGCACTCACCTAAGCATGACCAATTGTAACAATATATATCACAATATTTAAAGTTCAATGACAGTGAACTGATCAGCAGCTGTACCAATAGTAGAGCTGAGGTAACTACATCAACCGCAGCATATCTATACTAACATCAGAAGATTCTCTGTTTTATTTGAAACAATGACAACAATTTTAACAATAACACGAAGATAGCTCGCGTATTAACAGCAGAAACGGTGGAAGCTGAAATGATAACAAAGGAGCCGAGACAACTGAGGTAATAACAGCAAAAATGAAGACAATTAAAATAACAATAAACGGGAACAATGACAGATGCTGTAACAAAAAATAACAACCTGACAGCCGAAACAGTAAAGCGAATACTATGAATGCTGCAGATGTAATAATGTTAGCAGCACTACTGAAACAGGAGAGACAGATAAAGTCTAAATAACGGTGGCAGCTGCAACAGAAACCAAGCAGATGAGGCTGTTTAGATAGTCCAGAGTGGCACAGCAACATCAAGCAAAATACTCGTAGACGAGCAGTGGATAAAGCAACAGCAGACGACTTTAATGTGAGGGAGAAGTAGTAGGAGCAACAGGAGGAGGAGAGGTGGGGGTGATGCAGAGCTGTGCACAAGGCAGACGAAGCAACAGATCCAGCAGTCAGTCGTCTCCAGACACCCGGCAAGGAAGGTGGTGCTGTAGGAAGCAGCAGTGGTTCCAGCACTTGCCTTGCGGGACTCTGTGGTGCACGGTCAAAGAACTCCCCGCGCGCCAAGTTGTTCACAGCGGCACTCTATACCTGCCACCCTTGTGGCCGCACTGCGGTGGGACAATTTCTATTTAAAGTCAATAACTGAGTGAAAGTGTGCTTATCGTTGCTTCACTCTACACAAGAGAATATTGTTCACTCGAACATTTTTCACTTCTTTCGTGTATCTCAGCTGGACCTGATGCCCCGTGAGTGCAACACAGCTGCCGTTATAATTACCTCTAGAGTGCTACGTTCCGGATAATTACTGAACGGGCCGTGTTGGTATCCCCCTGCCTCCTCCTCCTCCGGAGGGTGCGTCTTCCTCAAGGGCGTAAGCAAGGGCGCTTCCCCAATACCACAACACCCCCACCCCCCACCCAATCCCCACCCCGTCATTACCTTCCCTTGGGCCATATGATTAGGAATTTCCCACGTTTATTTCTCGCAGGCGATTTAGATTCCTTTAGAAAGCCACTGAACCCTTACAAAAAGGCGAGGTCCTCAAGCACACTGTAAGCTCAGGACCCTATTTATCACTGGCCAAAAATATATGATACATTTCGGAATATTTTTAATAAACAAACCGATCTTCATTTTTGTTTGTAACTATTAATACGGTAAACACAGACATGCAACTGTTTGGAAAGTAATAGAAAGTCAAGATCTTCAACAAAATATATAAAATAGACTCGGGCTTCTGCCGCCTGTCGACGGCCCGTGAGCCCCTCACCGGAGCTCTTACACCTGTCGACGGCCCGTGAGCCCCTCACCGGAGCTCTTACACCTGTCGACGGCCCGTGAGCCCCTCACCGGAGCTCTTACACCTGTCGACGGCCCGTGAGCCCCCTCACCGGAGCTCTTGACGTCAGTCGACAGTCCGTGTCCCCCTTATCTGGGCTCAACCAGCTGACGACAGTCCGTGTCCCTCGACGACCGCTGTCGACGGTCCGTGTCCCTCGACGACCGCTGTCGACGGTTCGTGTCCTCGACGACCGCAGGTGACTTTCGTGGCTGTCGTGGTCTTGCCGCACGATTCTCCCCGCAGCTGAGTGAGGAGGAAGTTCTCCGCTTGCGGGCAGTGTTGACTTACAGCAAGGAATCCCGGCATAGTTGCGGTAAGCGTAGAGCGACATGCTCGCGATATTATTTTTTCACTCTACATGTCTATTTTCCTTCTTGCTCTGCCCCCCTTTCTGTCTCCCTTATTATGCATGATTTGTTATTTAATTGTCGTTAAGCTTATCCACATACTTTATTCGTTGTGATTCAGCTCACAGAGCTGAATACATCTTCTGAATATATTATATCTTCACGTGATGGCCATGCACAATATTCAGACCATTATCAAAACGAGGACCCGTTGGGGGTTTATTACGGTAACAACATCAGCTTTCAGACCACCAGTAAGTATACTTTTAATCCTGAATATAGTCCTGGGCTAAAGAATATTCTCCATGTATGAACACCTAGAATAGGATATACCTCTAGTTGGATATCCCTGAAGGTCCTGTTTTTGTTTGTTTTAGATTCAGCTACTTGGAAGAAAAATTCCAAGTAGCTCTGTGGTATGCTATTCATGCAGGTCGGTGTTCAATTCCCGACCGTCCAAGTGGTTTGGCTCCATTCTTTCCCCCAGTCCCATCCCAAATCCTTATCCTGACCCCTTCCAAGTGCTATATAGTCGTAACGATGTGGTGCTTTCCATCACGGGAGACATCTCCCGTCACGCAGGGTGCAGTCGCACCTCAACAGATCTCTAGTATCATCTAGTGATACTGGTAATGGCTCAAAAGGGTCACCACTTACGGGCTATTCATGCCCGTGCCACCTTTTGGGTGGCTTAATCTTCATCAGTCAGTCAGTGCTTTCCCTGATAGTTCTCTCTCTCTATGGTGAGCTCGTAAAGCTTCAGGTCTGCTATATTCACAATGTGTATGTATGTAAAGTTGAATGTTCCAGCCCAATATTCTAACCCAAACTTATCCTCAGGTTGTGCTCGTCCATCCTTCGGGACGTTCCCAAAGCCCCATTCCTAAATTTTCCCATTTATAATAACAATCTCTCATAATGTTATCCACTTTCTGTTCTGTGTTATACTATGTTTGCTATGTTTGCTATGTTTACTGCATTAAATCACCGTCTGGCTGAACTGAATGGCCGATTTTTTGTAATGTTTATTTCTGAATTATTGTTGTAACGATTTTATCTCTGTTTTCATTTAATGTACTCCTCGCCCCAGTTTAATATATCATTTTTTTTTTATTTTTGCTTCATAGTTAATTTTATTATTCTTTTAAGAATAAGGCATCGCCTGGGATGCTCTCGGACACAGGTTCGAATCCTCGTCACGGCCCTTGTGGATTTGTTCATTTGATTCATCACGCTATTGTGATTTCTGTGTGTAATTCTTCTTTTATTGCCTATTATCTTATATTTTCCACTATTCAATCGTTATTTTTCCAATTTCTCTGCTGTTATCTCTTGTTTCGCTCTTACTGGTAGCTCGTTCCAATTATTTTACTAATTTAATAAACCTAATTTATTATCAACTTAATTCTACTACGGCAACTAGGAGGCCTGGTCGACGACCGGGCCGCGGGGACGCTAAGCCCCGGAAGCACCTCAAGGTAAGGTACTCTTATTTACTAACAAAATGAAGTCATAACGTGGCTTCTATTCCCAGTGTGTCTTGCTTTTTCTAACGTTTCCTCTGGTTTGTGGTTTTGTCCAACAGTCGCTGGAGGTCTTATCAAGGCCATATCAAAAACACTTTACGAAAGAAAATAATTCAAGACAGATAAAGACAAAGAGGGAGACGGACTCATACACAGACAGACAGACATAAAGAGGCCGGGTCCACCCGGGAAACGCCGGTTATCCCAACTACTTAAATACGTTTTCCAAACAAATATTTCAACGTAAAATAAAAAATAAATCTGAATGAAACCATTTCATATACTAATTTTCTGATATATTATAAAAGTCTATTTTGTTCCGGTAGCATCTCACGTTCCAATACTACTAATAAAACTACTAATAAAATAAAAATCTACTAATAAAAAGTAATAAATATAATCACTACAACAAACCAAACATTTTAAACATGAAGGTTTATAACACAAAATGACATTAAATAAATAATAATATTAATAATAAAATGAATAAAAATTATCTTTACCTCAATGAAACACATTCTCACTAGGCCATTCCTCCTGCTTATCGTATAGGCTTCCCCTTTCCCCCCCTCTCAGCTGGTCATATACAACTATTGCAACTTAATAACCTATATATATATATATATATATATATATATATATATATATATATATATATATATATATATATATATATATATATATATATATATATATGGACTTAACTGTGGATAAGTTACAGTCAAGTTATTCCAGTAAATGTTGCAATTATAGGTGATGTCATTGTCACTGTAGTTGTTAATGTTATTGACACATCTAGTTGTTATATAAGAATACAATTATAGTCATTGTCATATAGTCGTTGATGTCACTGTATTTGTTGATGTCATTGCCACTGTATTTGTTGATGTCATTGTCACTGTATTTGTTGATGTCATTGTCACTATAGCCGTTGATATCATGGATCCTATAGCTGACGTCATTGCTGCTATAGCCGTTGATGTTATTGACAAAATATAGTCTTTGATGTCATTATTTTCGTCTACATGTTACCGAGTGCGTTGTATTACAATGAATTTAACATTACTCCGTAATATTTGCTCGCCTCCTTTGCCTGAATTGTCTTTGTGTATATCCGTTGGTTCCCAAAGGTTAATACATTCTTCGAGTAAAAAAAACTCGTCTATAATTTTTTGTTTTGTTTTGGGTATAATGCACAGCAAATAGAAAAACTTAGCCCGACAGATTCAATAGATCGACATGATCAAGAAAAATGCAGAAGAGAGCAACGGGTCTATGAAATGATGAAAACCTATGTAACGTTTAATCTGACCTATTCTAGGTCTAATATATGCTTGTATTATATTAGGTTTCAATAAGAATTGGTTGTGTTAGGATAGGACTGGACTAGTTTAGCTTCGTGAAGCTAGTTATTCTATATTTAGTCATCTGGCACCTCGATTGTAGGTTTAAATAATACTATGTTCAAAATGGTTTTTTATCCTTTACAGCTTGATTAGTGGTGAAATTTCTCGGTGTCTCAGTTACCAGTATTTGCGAACTCCTGCGCCGTGTTCCAAATATTACGAGTGGCAAATTGTGTTAAATAGCATGTCCTTATCTACCCTATCAATTCCTTTGTGATCGTAGCCATCCTGGTGGCGCGCGAGCCTTCGAGTTTATATGGACATGGCCTCTTGATTTTGGAAACGCACACCGTGTCACGCCAGAATGTACAGAGTCGTTCGTTCAGGAACACGTGCGGGGTCAGCATCACGCCTGGAAGTGTGCGGTGTTCAGTCGTGATATGACTGAGAGACAGAAGCGAAGACTGAGGTGTTTGGCTTGGGCGGCTGACTGGAACGCTGGAAGACGGTTGCGTGCAGAGACAACTGATCAATGCAGTTACTATTTCACAAAATAGAGTCACTCACGAGGCAGTGATGTGATGATAAGAGCCATGTAGGCTCAGGAACCTGTACCCCTAGTTGATTGAGAGTTGAAAGGCGGGACCAAAGAGCCGAAGCTCAACCACTGCAAGCACAATTGGGTGTGTGTGTGTGTGTGAATTCAAATGGAATGCATTAGGAAGTGATGTGGTGGAGGCTGACTCCATACACAGTTTCAAATGTAGATATGATAGAGCCCAATAGGCTCAGAAATCTGTACACCTGTTGATTGACGGTTGAGAGGCGGGACCAAAGAGCCAGAGCTCAACCCCCGCAAACACAACTAGGTGAGTATAACTAGGTGAGTACACAGGAAACTGGAGGCTAGCGTAGCGTTACTCTCGCGTGTTTCCTCAGGGTCCTGGAGCTACTTCCTCACCTGTAATTACCTGTTCGCCTGGCACTCTCGTCCGGCCCACAAACAGAACACTGGGGGAGTTCACCCCATCTGTTGCCTGTTGTTGAGACTCGGTTATCGTCCCGTTATTCCCTTCATCTTTGTTCTTCTTCTTTGTTGAAGCATCACTGTCTTCTCTTTGTTCTCTTCCACCACACCAGTCTCTCTCTCTGTCAATTTACTATGTACTGTATCATCAACAAATCTGTCAGTTTTTTACCGTCATTCTCGAGTTTTTGTTAACCACTTCTTCCTTTGTTTGCTCGTTTCTCTTGTTATCAATTTATTTGCAATCTATTTACTTTCTTCATATGTATTGCGTTGGCCTCCTCATTTTACATCTCTCCACACACACACACACACACACACACACACACACACACACACACACACACACACACACACACACACACACACACACACACACACACACACTCACACTGACACACACACACATACACAACACACACACTGACACACACACACACACACACACACACACACACACTGACACACACACACACACACACACAACAGACACACTGACACACACACACTGACACAAACACACACACACACACACACACTGACACACACACACACACACACACACAAACACACACACACACACACACACACACATGATATATCAAATGAACAAATTGTATTGAAAGGCGTAGAGAATGTGTATGGCAGTAGTACTCGAGGTTGCAATTCTTTTAACCATGTCGTGGTAGAGTTGACTAAAGCACATCTGGGAACATCCCGTGCGTAGGTTCGAACCCTCATCACGACCCTTGCGGATTTGTTCATCTTCTCTCTTCCCTCTCTATACTTCCAACTCTTCTTTTTCACCAGTTGTTCGTTCTTTATTAATGATGCTTTGAATATCGTGCGAAATTTTTGAATGGATATATAAATTACTCATTTCACACCTGTCAAATATCTTGCACAAAGTGGTCCTCTTAAAGTATCTTGTGCTCTCCACTTTTCATAAACTGGTCTTTCGCTAAAAACCTCTTTAAGGTCCTCTTTAAGGACATCTTTAAGGTCCTCTTTAGCCTCTTTAAGGCTAAGTAAGGGTCTTTATAGAGTACTTCACGCTATCCGCTCTA